GATTCATTTACTTAGTTAATGAGTCTGGAATTAATAAGCCAAGTTGACGAACTATTCGAAATATATGTTCGGATTAATCGTCTAAGTTAAGAATATTCGAATTAACTTTCGAATGCTATGTTCATATTCGGAATAATATTCCGATAATTAATCCAGCTAAAGTTCTTTATGTCAAGTTCGGTTTACCTATACTGTGACACGTTCACATTAGTACACCGTCCATTGTTAATTAAGTAATGGTCATTAGCCCTTACTTAATTAACTTAATTATGTTTAAGCTAATTAATTGAGATTAGCCTAAGATAATCATGATTAGCTTTAATGTTAATTAAGATTAATTAACATTAATGAGGATTAATCAAGGGATAATCATGCTTAAGGTATTGATGAGCAAGTCATTCAGTTTATTTATATAAGTCATGTTTTAGTTCCGATATAATAACGTTGTCGATTATTATATTCGGAATTAATTATTTTTTTAGTCGAGATTACCGAAATCTATTTTCGACGTACCGTTTACGTTCGGAATAATTTTGGTAATTAAGTATTATGTTTAATTGCATAACTAAACATATTTAGTGGTTAATTAAGCATAATTAACCGCACATCATGTCTTAACCGAAACTTAGGCAAATTTTCTTAAATTCAGCAATAAGGCCGAGAATTCTTTTCATCATTTGGTCACCAAAATTCTCACCCTTTTAGCATAAAAACGTGGCAAGTTTTGGAGCAAGTGAGTCATCCCTTGGGTAGCCATATGAAAGCCACGTTTCATCTAAAAAATTGTTTTCTTCTTTCGGCCTAAGTGATAAAGAGTAGTAGAGACCGAAAGTCCTTCTTTGGGTGGGGATTCATTTTCTTCAGCAACAAAGTTCAGAGAGAATTCAGAATAGAGAGTGAGTGAAAGATTAAAAATTCTCCTTATTAATTAAGGAGGAGAGCACACACACGCGTAAGGGTTGCTCGGAGAAGGAAATCACGACCTATTCATCATCAGTTCTCGATCAATTACAGAGGTAAATTCCTCATTATGTTAGAATCTTATTAGTAAGATCATTATAAGGTTAATTGTTCGAGTTAAATTCGGAATTTCAGAAGAAAGTTCACGATTAAGCTCGGTATTGGCCATGAGGGGTCTAACCGAGTGATCTTTAGTTTTATTCAGATTTCACCGAACAACTCACGTTTATTTAGTCAATTTAGATCATTATATGTTCAGTTTTACAAGGTGGTTCGAGGAAAGTTGTAGAATTGTTCATGAATCGGTCCAAGGAAGTGGACAGCGCACCTAGCGCATGTCCACGGGCCGAGTATTTGCTCTTCATGTTATCATGTTGTATAATCAGAATCATGCGAGTAACCCTAGCCTCAATAGGCTTTAAATTGAGTAAAAAAAAAAGATCAGTTGTTCAGGGTTGTTCAGTATAAGTTCATGTTGTTCAAGGATCGGCATATAGCCGGTCGTATGTGCAAGGTGCGCATTACTTGAGGTCCATTGAATGAGATTCATGATTTTTCAGCAAACCTAGTATATATTACCATGTCATGTTGAGTTATGATCGGTCATGTTTGAAGTGTGGGGAAAAGTAGTCGGACGGCCGGCGAAAGGCCGACC